GTTGGTACGCATTGTTGCCTTGCTGGCGTATGGGCTGATAGCATCTACTATCCCCCCAGGACGGGCCTGCCGGCATGCAACGCCTGCTCAGTACTCGCCCCGCGGGTGTCTATAGAGGAGCATCGCTCATGTGCTGAGCCTGTGCATATGGCCATGGAGGAGTGAGAGGAAGCAGGTGAGTGGTGGAGAGGAGGAAAAAATGAACTTAACTATGACATGTGGCACCACATGTCACGACAGATAGAAGGGATGAACTTTGAGTAATTTACTGTAACACAATTTATATATATATTTTGTTAATTGCTTTTGACCGATCTGTTATTTACTGCTTACATGGGAAAGGGGATACGATGTGTGGACTTGCTGAGTACTACGTCACTCAGAGTAGCAAATTGGCAATGTGAGTAGTACAAAAGGGTATGTTAAGCTTTGAGTGTCGGTGGTAACTCGTCATCGGACTCCAAGGTGGTTGCAGCTCAAAAGAGCATGGGAGCTAGCTGTCGTAACCGTCAGAACCGTCACCTGCAATCGATCCTTCTCTTTTTGCCCTTCAGACTACAAGGTAGATGATGGATGGTCCTCTTCAGTTGTGATTGCTCTGTACCTAGCCTCAGCGACACCAAAAAGATCCGGAAGTGAACTGAACTTGAACCCGAGACAGCGCATTAACTGACTCCCGATGCACAGCCGAGGCATGTCTCACCGCATCGCTCTTGTAAACTGCATTGATTGCTCAATTGCGATGCGTGTCGTTATCAAGTGATAAACTGATAACCCAGCTGCGAAGTGGTGGTAGGAGGAGTACTTCCAAATCCTACCGAGATCAGCAGCGCCCAACACGGATGCATGCATGGTGACTGGTGAGGGTGGTGCTTTGTGGGCCAGCTAGCCGACCTGTTGAGGAGAAAATGCTGGCACTGTGGCACAGACTGCGAGAAACAAGGCCTCTGCAGCAGGTGCACAATACCCGGCCGGTCAGTTCCTGAAAGTTTAACAAACAGCAAGTGACTTTACAGTGGTACTACAATTGGCATGGTAGCCAGTAACCACTTGCATCTTCTCCTGTGGATGTTACAGCCTCACGCTGAATCGGGAACAAGCTTCATGTGCTCCTCTCCCTCCGATCAGTGTCTGTGTAGGCAGCTCTCCGAAGCAAACAGTTTACTGGGCAGCCTTTCTTGTTTCTACATCTGTCAGAACAAAACAGCAAGGGTTAGGCAGTCCGTTCGGTTGGCTGTGGCTCGTCGTAAACGATCGTAAATTTCTATTCGGAATAGTATTTTTCTCTCACACAAACCAGCCAGCAGTACTTCTTCATGAACCAGCAACGAAACGAACCGGCCAACCGAACATGCTGAGGGTGTTTGGATGCAGAACTAAAGTTTAAGAGGTGTCTCATCGGATGTCATATGGGGTGTCACACAGGGTGTTCGGATACTAATAAAAAAAAACAAATTACAGAATCCATCGGTAATCCACGAGACGAATTTATTAAGCCTAATTAATCCACACTAGCACATATTTACTGTAGCACCACATTGTTAAATTAAGGACTAATTAGGCTTAAAAATTTATCTGGCAAATTAATCTCAATCTGTGTATTTAGTTTCGTAATTAGTCTATATTTAATACTTCATCCATGTGTCAAACATACGATGGGACAACGATTAAAGAAACCAATCACCCCCTTAATACATACATGATAAATTACCAATACTACTGGACGGCAGTCATCTGGATTCTGAACAGCGGCATCCTGTGGTGCTTCTTCTTGGCACATCCTTTTCCTTTCCCTTGACCAGTCGATTGCACCATGTCATGTCCTCTTCCGTTAGCGTAATCAGTGCCTCGTGAGGATCCAATCTCTCTCGGAGAAACAGTCCGTTAGCTGAAGAGTGAATTCCTTATTGACACTCGAAAAATGAGTCGTTCTTTTTTTTTTTCCCTGAAATTTTATTCGTTCCCTATTTGACACTCACTTCAACTTTCATCACTAATTTGACACTACCGTCAAATCCGTTAGCTAACGGTGTTAACTGGCTGTTAAAAAGACGTTTTTGCCCTTAGAAAAAAGTGGCAAAGCAAATTTGTGAGGAAAAAAAAACTGCGCCCGCCTCTGATGCATGCGCCCAGCTGCAAAAAAAGGCGCAGGTTTTTTCTTCCTCTCAAATTTGCTTCGTCGTTTTTTTTCTAGGGGCAAAAACGTCTTTTTAACAGCTAGTTAACACCGTTAGCTAACGGATTTGACGGTAGTGTTAAATTAGGGATGAAAGTTGAAGTAGGTGTCAAATAGGGAACGATGAAAATTTCAGGGCCAAGAAAAGAACGACTCATTTTTCCGGTGTCCAATAAAGAATTCTCTCTCGTCCATGTCCTAAGGTGATAAGGTCATCAGACAAGTCCATCGCTCTCAAGTTCACATGGTGCTCCAGCCAGCTCCACTGCTGCCGATGGTACCATGCATGCAGGCTGGTCACCGAGGCCCAAGTACTGACAGAGAAGTGAGTGCAGTAAGATAAATGGCCCCTGCCTGCAAGGCTGCAAGTCTCCTCGCCCCCCAGCGGATGCAATCTTTGATCCACGTACAAACCCCCGCGCCAAATCCAGGTATCAGACAGATTTGTAACGCTGCCTGCGCCCCGCGCGCGCGTCCTTGTCAAGTGCCGACCGACGCGCGCCCATCCGCCCGCGGACGCAGGCAGGGATCCCGATAGCACGGCATGCACACATGGCTCTCTCGCTCGGCGACGCCGCTTTGGCTCTCTGCGTCCTGCCTGCCATCCTCGTTCTTCCCAGCTTCTCTCTCACAGTCTCACTCCAGGGCAGGGCTGGCACCAGGGCCACGGCAGTTTTCGTGAAAGTCCCGTGATCCCGTCCCTTGCAGTGATATGATAGATAGAAAGAAAGGGTGAAATTACCAGACGCGAGGACTGGAGCTCGGCCCGGTCCATTTGGGGCCGCCGTACCCGGCCTCGAACTGTTACCCGGGTCAGGCCGGACCAGCTCGGGCTTAGCCGCGGGCGGCAGCAACGTGTGGGCAGGCTCGAAGGCACATGTTACATGCCGATGCTGCTGATCTGACCTGCCGCTGTGCTTCTTCGGTTTTCACGCAGTGCCGTGCCGTGCCGGCGTGAAACAGGAAGCGCGGGCGGGCGCCCGTTTCTCCAGTCTACCACGCCACGCCACCCTCCATTCGGCAACAGCAACAGGGCGCCGACGGCAGCGTGGTGTTGGTGGTGGGGTCAGCGGCCGCCGATCTCTCAGTCTCGCGTTGAACGCCCTGCCATCGCGCCTTTCGGCACAAGCGGCGAGCCGCGAGGCTTGCTTTTTTTAGTGATTTGTCCGGGAGAGACGCCGGTTACGCTGCGCGTGTTGTGGCGCGGCAAGAGGGGAGAGGGGGGGCCGAAACCATGTGGATCGTGGACGTCCGCGCCGGGAGGAAACACGGCCCCCGTCTTAATGCCCTGTCTTGTGGACGCTGCGGTTTTGTGCTCGCCCGTGGGAAAGCCAAACAAGCCCAAGCCAAGTGGGTGTGGCCTGTGGGGGCGCTCCGCTTTCTTTCTTTCTGTGTGCACTGAAAAAGATCAAAAGCGGGTCCGGCCATTTGCATTTGCATGGCTAAACCTAGACAATAAACACTCGACAGGGAGGGGTTTGCCAATGTGATTTTCTGGCTGTTTTTTGGCCTGTGGTTCAGGCAAATCATTTCTGCGAAAAATCAGGGGGGGAAAGCTCTTCCACTGCGGGCACCTGCATTACATAGGAACTTGACTCGCCTAATCACCCTTTTTTAATCCTTGCTTTCGCCACCCTTTTGTGCCTAATTGAAGCGGATCCCAAGAACTCAAAAGTGCGCTCTGTCTGCTGCACTCTATCATCGCTCCACTCTCATCAAACGAGTAAAAACTGATTACTGATTCCCTTCCAGCCAACCAACCAACCAACTAGGCAAGCCCATCTTGAGCTAGACGGCAGGAACCGGCACAACTGACGCCCCGTGACATGAGCTCGTGCTGCTTCCAGCCAGCAGTACAAGTGCTGTGCAGCAAGCGTCACACCCTCTTCATCCATCTCCAGCTGCGCCACCGACACCCCTTGCAGGGCCCATTTACCCCACCCCGTCCGCCCCCCACCGCGACAATGATGGCCTAATCGGCTCCATCCGTCATCGCTTTTTACTGTTTTTAACCCCCGCTCTGTCTGATCGTCCATGTTACGTTTACCGTCGCCTTCTCATCACGGCAATCATGCAGCTGTTATTATTTCTTCTTTCCACAGCACGTCTGTGCAGGCGGACCTTGGATCCCAGATTATACTTCCACAGGTCAAACAGTGCAGAGATGGTGCGTGACGTCACACGCTAGTAAAAAGAAAATATTGTGCCGAGCTGGAGCAGCGCTAGCTGTCGCTGTGAGTGCAGTGAGCGAATATGCTCGATCACGATCGATGGGGTTCGTCGGTGCCGTGGTTTCCTAATAAAACTCTAATCGCTGCTGTGTGTGTTCCTCGCGGTAGACTCGGATCAATCAATGAAGGATGGCCAACGCTCCCGCCATTTTCTTTTCTGGGACGCACCTGGATCTGCATCTTTGGCGCCAATTGCAACTGACACACACACAGAGACACTTGCAATTTCCTCGAGTCCACCCTAAAATAATATTCGTACCAGTAGCTCGCAGTTAAAAAAAAGATCTTCTGGAAATACTTATATGCTTTTTTTAGAAGGAAAAAATAATTATTAGGCTATTATTAGGGTGTACAGAAAAGTGCATGTACAAAACCCTACGGCTCCTGATGCCGCGCTGCGGCTAAGCACGTGGGTGGCCTCTATAAACCCCCTTGGCAACCCGCACTCCCACTCCAGCCCGCCCGCGCCCCAACACAGAGCCGAGCCCCGCACCCGCAGCCCCGGCCCCGGCAGATACCCAGGCAGGCGGGCAGAGCCAGCCACCACCCTGCCGGCGGCCACATTGCGCGCTGCTGCCTAGCTCTCCGAGGCGATGGACGCGGCGGCGGCGCTGCCGGAGGCGTGGTCGCAGGTGCGCGCGCCGGTGATCGTGCCGCTGCTGCGGCTGGCGGTGGCGGTCTGCCTCACCATGTCGGTGCTGCTGTTCCTGGAGCGGATGTACATGGCCGTCGTCATCGCCGGGGTGCGCCTCCTCCGGTTCCGCCCCGACCGCCGGTACCGCTGCGACCCTTTGCCGGAGGACGACCCGGAGCTCGGCTCCGCCGCGTTCCCCGTCGTGCTCGTCCAGATCCCCATGTTCAACGAGCGCGAGGTACGGACGGCCCACCGACCACCGCATTGCTAGCTTGCTGCAACCGTTTACTCGCTCGCTCCGCCGCATTGCGCGCGCGCGTCTCTGACCGACCGCCATTGCCGGCCGGCCAAGCGCTCGCTAGTCGCTTTTAACGGACCGAGCTGTTTGTTAGTTTGTTTCGAATAATCCGGATTTTTTTGGGTCATTAATCTGCTGCTGCTGCGGCGGTGACGGCGTGCGGTGCGTGCGTGATGCAGGTGTACCAGCTGTCCATCGGCGCCGTGTGCGGGCTGTCGTGGCCGGCGGACCGGCTGGTGGTGCAGGTGCTCGACGACTCCACGGACGAAATGGTTAAGGTATGTATCGCTTGCGCCAGAGATTCACTACGGCTAATCATATACTACTATTAGCATTACCATCATCAGCAGCGTTATTCTTCTTCTGCCTGTCGGTGGGTGGCCATTGATATGGAGGGGGCGAGGGTAGAATAGGGATAGTTAAAAAAAAAAGGCCTGGCTCTGGCTTTTTTTTTTTTTTTTTGTGTCCCCAGCCGAATTGAAGGAGGCCGCAACGCCCGGGCATCCTGCCAGGCCTGGCCCCGACCGCCCTTGTCCTCTTTACTCACGCTACTGGCCGCACCGCATCATGCTACGCTACGCCGCCCCCGGTTGGGTCTGTGTGGCCTCTAGCTAAGGTTACTGCACCTGCGCTTGTGTAGTTGTGTGCACTGGAAAAAGTGAAAAAAACTCACATGTCTCTTCACGTGCTTCCTCCTCACATGTCACGTCATCAGCTTCACAGTTATAGAATTTTATCAGGAAAAAAAATCATTGCAAACAGCCAAACAGGCTAGCTACCCCACCCATTTTCACTATTTTTTGGCGGGAACGGGGAACCATGCATGGCTCTGCCTTGGTGTATCTTCTGAGTCATTAGGATTCATTACGTATTATTTGTCGGTGGGCGTATAAACTTTTGGTAGCGCGTGAAAAGTGCTGCAATAAAAAGGGGAAATCTCACGGCACGATGGATTCGTCGTCCCCGGCATTATGAGCCATTGCGCGCTGCCATTCCTAGACCTAGAGCATTGATTGCTTGGGGGACGTGTAGCGTGTATGTGTAGCAATAAATGGCCCGCTAATTAAGCACAATCCGGGTAGTGATTAGGCGAGCTTCTGCGCCTGATCCTCCTCCTCCTCCTGCAAACAAAAAGATCCTCCTAGGCACGTGCAAAAGCCGTGCCGAGAGTGTTGACCACCCTCCCTCACAGTCACATTGGATCCGGTTACCCTCCCCATTCTTTAGGCTTTACATACACATGACCAGAGGATGATGGGTTAATTGCGTGCGCTATACGTTTAATTCTGGCGACGACGACACTGGTATACTACTAGTAGGTAATTTTTTTTTGGGATTAATAATTACTACGGAGTACGTACTGTAATTGGCAGCCAAAATAGAAGTAATTGGATGTGAACGTGATGCAGGAAATGGTGCGGCTGGAGTGCGAGCGGTGGGGTCGGAAGGGGATCAACATAACGTACCAGATCCGGGAGGACCGGAAGGGGTACAAGGCCGGCGCGCTGAGGGCGGGCATGAAGCACGCGTACGTGAGGGAGTGCGAGTACGTGGTGATCTTCGACGCCGACTTCCAGCCGGACCCGGACTTCCTCAAGCGCACCATCCCCTACCTCGTCCGCAACCCGGAGATCGCCCTCGTCCAGGCGCGCTGGAGATTCGGTCAGTCTTTACTCTCCTATTAGTTACTTTTATTTGTCGACCTGCATTTTTGTTCATCATTAGTGTTAAGGGCGTTTGGTTTCTTCTCCTAAATTTTAGTCGCTGTCCCATCGGATGTTTGACACATGCATGGAGTATTAAATATAGACTAATTACGAAACTAATTACACAACTTATGACTAATTTGCAAGATGAATCTTTTAAGCCTAATTAGTCCATGATTTGGCAATATAGTGCTACATTGAACATGTGCTAATGATATATTAATTATGCTTAATAAATTCGTCTCGTGGAGTATCGACAGATTCTATAATTTGTTTTTTTATTAGTATCTGAACACCTCATGCGACATCTCTATATGCCACCTTCTAAATTTTAGTCGCCGGATCCCCAACACCCCACACCCCCTTACATCTCTAGTACTACTCTCGGCCTACTAGCTAGTAGTGGTATTTACCGTGTTCTTTGTTGTCGGCGGTAAGTTAGTTAGCTAGGCGCCTTGGCCTAGGAATTATGTTACATTAAAAAAAATGCATGCTTGGGTTGCGTCTAGGTGAAGGTTAAGTGAATCACCATGCATCATTTCACTTGTCTTGTTAATTTTTAAGCTAAAACCGGGGTGCGCAATTGACTTTTGCGGCCTAGGGCACGTGTCAAATGGCCTTGACTTTCGGGCCTAGAGCCCCCGAGCCGCTGCTGGATTATTGTAGGTATACGCAAGTCCCAGATCAGACGCCAACGCCACCGACGGTTCTTGCAGTGCACCCGGCACCCAGATCGCATCTCAGCCGTCGGTGGTTGGTCAAGCGGTCGTGAGGTGCCGGGCTCGGACCCGGCTGCCTCTTGCGCCCGTCCTGCTCTGCTCCTGGACGTGCCGCGCGCTGCTCTCGCCTGACAGCCGCACCGCATGGGAACCCCCCCCCTCGTGGGGCTGTCGCGTGGCCCTGCCCCGGCCCTGCGTATATGTGCGCGTCACCGGGCGTACCAGGTACCTGGATCTCCTGCCGTTGGGATTCTAAGGCCTTCCTCCGCCGGGACGGGACCGCGCGGCTGCTCCGGCCGGGCCGGACCACCAGGACCACCAACGTTCGTACGCGCGCCGCGCAGACCGTCGGTTTGCTCGCCACCGGCACAGCACGGCCGATCCCCACAGATAGCGCGCCGGACGCCCGTTGTTGCCCCTCGCCCTGACCCCTGACGCCGTCGGCGCCGGGGTCGTCGGTGATACGTAACGCTGCAGCTACAGTTATCTGGGGTTTACTGCGCTGCCGATCCATCTGCACTTCGGCAGGGCGTTTACTATTGGGGCCTGTCAGGGACTCCGGAGTAGCAGATTCGCGCGTGCCGCGCAGAGGCAGAGGAGCTGATCGTGGAGGTGGTTGTTATGGCGCGCAGATTCTTCACCGAACTGTGCCACGTGGGAGTCTTGAGTGATGATGCATGCGTTGTTGCCCAGCCCAGAATCCACAGACATTTGTCATTTGTGCGTGGAACGTCTCCCCAACCCCAAAGGAGCACGGCAAAAAGGTCCAGTGAAGCTGCTTCACTCGCCCTGCTGACCCTGCCACCCACTCCATCCATCTCGCATTCTCTATACGCACACAACACAGAGGGACAGACGCATCGGGCACCTCTCTCTCTCTATCCCTCATCAGTCATCCCTGTATGGCTGTGTCAAGTCCCTATCCAGAACTCTACATGAACTGTGTCTGTGTGTACGTGTCCCGGCTCCACCACGGCACGGCACGGACCAAAAGTAGGCCTAGGCCCGTAGGCCGGTCCCGTCCGTCGCGGCCAAACGAACAGGGCACATGTGACGCGGTCCGGCGGAACATGACGGGCGGGGCCGGCCGGCTGGCCGTCGGTGATCCCGGGACGCGGGCGTGGGCGTGGGCGCGCATAATTGACCGCGACCAGGACCCGCTGTCTCTGCTTTGCTGCAGTGCAGGCACGCCCCTGTGTGCGGTGTGCCCTACCCTTCTTGGGCCTCTCTCTCTCTCTCTCTCGATTCAGCATACTGCATGTACTCGAATAAAGAACACGGTTATCAAGCTGCCATTAGTATCGCTGCCCAGATGACAAGGAGACCCATCCAGATCCAGACAAGCATGCTCAATTTTTAAAGGGAGCTGTTATTATTATAATAGAATTTCCATTCATGGGCTAAAATGTACGGTAAGGAGTTCTTCTTGTCCTTGGTCCACGGGAGCCTGCATGTAATCTGGACTCGGTAACCATGAACTGCCACGCAATCTTGACTCGGTTACGGTAACGGTGCAATACCACTATGTTTTTCTTCTCTTCTGGGTTCGATTTGTGATTGAGCCGGATTAGTGCCACTCCTTTTGTTAATCTCTTTTTGAAAAATTAGCAGAATCACTGCTATGTCATGTCATAAGAGAAGAGCAAGCCGAGTTTACATCGAATTTTTAGCCTTTTCCTTTTGGTTGGAATTGCAACTTCTAGCCTGACCACAAGTATGAGCCAGTACGATTACTGGATTCCTTTCTAGCCTGACCGCAAGGCACAAGCACATTGCTTGGTCTGCTGGTCCATTGGGTCGCGGACCAACCCAGAAGCAGAAGTGACAGAACATGTCCCCACGGCAGTGCTGGCCCGATGCAGTAGTAAATTATTTGTCTGGTCAGCTGAACTGTATATGTATATGGTCTTTTATAGCACTGATGATTTCTACTTGGGCTTTGTTTAGTTTCCGGATTTGGGAGTGGCCAAATAATTAATGTGTTACTGTAGCGTTTCGTTTGTATTTGTGAATTATTGTCCAAACATTGACTAATTAGGCTCAAAAGATTCGACTCGTAAAGTATAACCAAGCTGTGCAATTATTTTTTGATTTCGTCTACATTTAGTATTTCATGCATGTACCGTAAGTTTGATGTGACGGAGAATCTTCTTTTTGCATAGTGCATTTTTTAGAAGTTTGATGGGAACTAAACATGGCCTTGCACAATTTTACTGTCACTTTTCGTCATTATTTTGAGGATGACCATGAACCCACGGGGGCGAAGATGATGATGAGCAATTGATGGTCATATCTGATATTCCGTTTGCTGTCTCTCCTTGTGGTGATCAGTGAACGCGGACGAGTGCCTGATGACGAGGATGCAGGAGATGTCCCTGGACTACCACTTCACCGTGGAACAGGAAGTGAGCTCCTCCGTCTGCGCCTTCTTTGGGTTCAACGGTAAACCGAGCTCACAACCACTGCTCTCTCCATCCACTTCTAATCTGCGTACCACACTTTTGCATTTCGTTCATAGCATCTGATCAGTTTTGGCAACCAGGTACCGCCGGCGTGTGGCGTATTTCTGCGATAAACGAGGCCGGAGGGTGGAAGGACCGGACCACGGTGGAGGACATGGATCTTGCCATCCGGGCCAGCCTCAAGGGGTGGAAGTTTGTCTACCTCGGTGATGTTCAGGTACAGTTCATACCAATCATGGCATCCTACAATTTCAGATAGAATCCAATGCGCCTTTCTAGCATGGCTATCATTGAACTGAAGACATCTTCTTCTTTTTGAGACAATAGTGAATTCATATTGCACAAAGAGGAAAGTGAGATTTACCCATGATGTGCCCAATTTGATTTCAGGTGAAAAGTGAGCTGCCGAGTACCTTCAAGGCTTTTCGGTTCCAGCAGCACAGGTGGTCGTGCGGCCCGGCAAACCTGTTCAGGAAAATGATCATGGAGATTGTGACAAACAAGGTCTGTCCAAACACGAATTCTCAAGAATTTAAACTCTCTAAGCACAGTACATCTGATTGAATTTGGAAATTTTGGCCAAGTACAACATGCTGCTAACTCCCATGCTATTGACTGTGATGCAGAAAGTGACGATCTGGAAGAAGATCCATGTCATCTACAACTTTTTCTTGATACGCAAGATCATTGCACATATTATCACCTTTTCGTTCTACTGCCTCGTCATCCCAGCAACGATCTTTGTCCCCGAGGTCCGCATACCGAAGTGGGGCTGTATCTACATTCCCTCAGCCATTACCCTTATGAACTCTGTTGGAACTCCCAGGTGAAAATCTTTTAGACAACCTCGCAAAGCCAATGAAGCATAGTCATCCATCAATGATTCTAGGTGATCAAACCACATAATTACCTAACCTGATGACATCAATTTTGCAGGTCATTTCACTTGCTTTTCTTCTGGGTCGCCTTTGAGAACGTCATGTCCCTGCACAGAACAAAAGCCACATTGATCGGCTTGTTAGAGGCTGGCAGGGCGAATGAATGGGTTGTGACAGCGAAGCTCGGCAGCGCTATGAAGATGAAAGCAGCTAATAAAGCGGGACTCAGGAAACAGTTCATGAGGATATGGGAGAGGTATGGAGCAATTAAATCTACTATTTCCCTGGTGTTCTCTTAAATCCTGCAACTAATTTCCAGTAACATAATTCAGGTTGCACGTTACGGAGCTTGGTGTGGCAGCCTTCCTCTTCTCCTGCGGATGGTATGATTTTGCGTATGGGAGGGACCATTTTTTCATCTACCTCTTCTTCCAGTCCGTAGCATTTTTCATTGTCGGTATCGGCTACGTCGGCACAATCGTCCCGCAATCGTAACAGAAGCATGTTCAGATCATCCGCCTCTGGTTTTTGCATTGTCTTCAGCAAGTTTCGTAGTGGATAACCCGTTTGAAGTAAAGATCATGCGGTCCTCTCTTCCATCGTCTTTTTGGGGACCAAACCATGTAGCCTTGGGTTGCATGTGCAGTGCTACTGTAAAATAGGAAAGCAGTGTTGCAAGGTCACTGCAGGAAAATTTAGAGATTGGTGCCATATGTCGTGGTGTTTTTGCTTATATATTATAGCAACTATGTCTTGTGTTTAAGGGGGTGCAGGATGGCTGCTTCCAATGTACTAGTGACATACAGAAAAACAGGTTCAGACATGTGTTGAGAAAAAAAAAAATCAAGTGTTCATCCTTCTCTTGTACGATGCTACATTTTACATGTGTTCTCCTGTTCTGTGGGTGTATTACTATGAAGCAGTGGCCTCTATTGAGTCTCCTAGAGGCAGTATGAAGTGAAATAAGCCCACGTTTTGATAAATGTATTTTCATTAGAAAAAACCATACAAAATAAATTTTGACTATTTATTGCTCTTACAATTACAATATACTCCCAACTTCTGTTCCAAATTGAAATTTGTTTTAGCTTTGCCCTAAGTCAAGCTTCTCTAGTTTTGACCAAGTTTATAGAAAAATACATAAACCTATAAACAACAAACGATATTCATTAGATAAAACATGAAATATATTTTAATACTGCATTTATTTGATATCGTGGATGTTAATATATTTTTCTATAAATTTGATCAAAGTTAGACAAGTTTAACTTAGAACAACTATTATTGTCATTTGCTAATAAAGAATCAATATCACTAGAACAGAACTATTATTGTCATTTGCTAATAAAGAATCAATATCACCTTAGAAGTACTATGAATACAAATCTATTTACGCAAGTTTATGTCCTAAATCCTAAACGTATATAATTTGACGAGTTGTTAGTCAAAGTTTGTAAAATTTGACTCTTTCGTCTAAAAATAAGCTTATTATTTTGGACAGAGGGAGTAGTGTGTTAGACCACATGAGAAATTAGATATCTCTTGGGCATGAAACTCAAGTCCTGTTTCAAACCGGTTGTTACCTTTGAGAGTAGCCTCAGTGTGAAAAATGTGCATAATACATTCAAAGTTTTAAGAGTCAATATCCAAAGAAATCACAACAATTTGTGCATTTTCGAAAATCACGTTCCTCGAATTTTTTTTGGATAACCTGGATACGCAAGAGAGGTTTTCCATACCAGAACTTTCCTAAAGGAAGAAAATAGCAAAATCTTTTTTTTCCCCTGACAATGCTGCAAATCGCCTTGAAAGGCCAGCTTCAACAGGACGTAGGTCCAAAACCTGGTCCGACTGGACGCAGGCCGCAATCTACGTATTTGTGGCCGGGCGGACATCCGCGGCAGGCTGACCCTCGAGACCATGGGCCAAAGCCAGCCCTGAAAGCAATCTTAGAGCCCAAATATCCAAATCACCTGATTACATTTGAGATTACACGGCAGGGACTAACAGAATTCCTAAGTACTCCCTTCGTTTCAAATTATCAGCCATTTTAGCTACTTCCTCTATCTCAAATTATAAGACGTTTTGGCATTTCTAGATTCATAGCTTTTACTATGTATCTAGACATAATATATATCTAGGTACGTAGCAAAATCTATGGATCTAGAAAAGTCAAAACGTTTTATAATTTGGAACAGATGGAGTATATAGCTTGTGCGATGTATATCTAAATGTATAGTTATATATTTTAAAAAATCAAAATAATCTATAATTTAGATTATGGATTCTTTTAGTTGACATTCAGACTTAATATAACATAAAATATTTATTAAAAAATAATGGGTAGAATTACAAGCAACAAAACACTAGAAAAAAGTATATATTAATAAGTGAAGATAATGGTCGGCAAATTATCACTTAGAAAATGTTTGGATTGTAGTTAAGGTTGCCACAACTGAGGCAACCACAATTTTCTTAGATAGTACCACCCTGTGTCCTAAATTATAGATCATTTTAGTTTTCTAGGTATATATCTTTTTGCTATGAATCTAGATACACGATATGTCTAGATACATAATAAATCTAGATATATGATATGTCTGGATACGCAATAAAAGTTATGTATCTAGAAATACGAAAACGATCTATAAATTAGAAGGAATGGAGTATTAGGTTGCTACCACAATTTAGCCAATATAACCTAGTCAATCAGCCACGGGGCATAGACTCACCATTTTTGCCAAACTCTTGCTAAGATTAAGTGATGGATTTTCTTGCTACAAAAGTGTGGCAAGATTAACCTTAGTAGACTTAGGTAAAAAATCCGTGGCAAGTATAGTTGCAACCAAAACATGCCCTTCGACTTTAGTCATCTCTTATGTAGTTCTATATAGGGAGAAGTCCATTTTTGGCATGCAACTACTGTCCGAGTTTGTTTTCAGTGACACAACTTTTTACTAGGGATATTTGTTGACCAGCGAACTATCAATATTGAACAAATTTGGCTATCTAGATGGTTTTAACATGTTTTTGTATTTTTTGAAAGCAATAAAAAACTAGTTTATTTCATAAAAATATGCAAGTAATTCATTTTGAACTCGAAAAAAATATCGATCTAGTACCTTTTTTTTTCTCAAAATTATACCTAGGATTGCCAAGAGATCAATAGCAAACTACAAGTAAACAATAGATTTGGAAGATGACACAAACGTCGCACGTGTCATGCTACACCATACATAGATCATATTTAGTCACTAGCCAATGCCCGTGTATTGCTACGGGTGAAAAACTATGTTAATTTAGTTTGCTGCTCCAATAAAAAGGGTTTTCGAAATGATGTTGATGCCAATAGTGAAGTTATTAAAGCGACATATGATCTATTAATTTGCAGCACTGGTATAAGTGGAAATGAAATATTAATCAAACTATATAAGGCATGTATGATGTATATCAACAAAATGCAGCATTGTCAAAATGCCCGTGCATTGCAACGGGTGTTATCTCCAGAGCATGAGTTCCTCCAATCCTGGTAATGCTCAACCCTAAAATGGATGCTGCATACCACAAAAAAATGAGCATATGCAACTAACTGCATATCTAATATAATCCTTTCTCGAATCTAGAAACTTGAATGGAATTATGTACTTGTTCAAATGCCAATATCGGGACTAACATAATATTTACATATTAGTGATTTATACACAATAACTTATGTTTTCAGAACTTATACATAGTGTGGATTCAGAACCATTTATAGTGCACCATTAGTGGGGTCGTTGGCATGCAAGGAACCAGAATTCGCCGAACGACTTGAATGTAGGTCAGTTTCAGACAAAATCTTGTGATAAGAGTTTCCTTGGAATGGAAGACTGCCCATCAGTAGAACATGCAGAAGCACCACAACAGCCCCTATATATCTATACCTTTTGCGAGTAATTTCCTAGTAGAACCTCAGATGCCACATATGCAATACTGCCAGAAACACCAATCAATTTCTGACCTGCTCAAGGTGAGGAACATATTAGTGAGCATCAAACCTGCAGCTGGTGGAGTCAAAGAGATGATTCAAGAGCATCATCTAGTATTGACCTAGATTCAACTCTAGCCAGAGAACACCATCTCAAGTAAATACATTTCAATAAAGATCTATAGATATTAACATAGCAGCCAGCAGGTCATATCACAGAATCTAAATGGCAGATAGACTAAAATATCGAAAGGCGAAAGGTCTATTTTGTGCGACACTACAAAATCTCAGTAACAATAGCCATGGTTATTGCTCAGAAAATTAATGATAAAACAATTTGACAATATTGTAAAATTCTAGAAAGAAAAATCATAATTGCCATATGCAAGGAATTGTGTTTCAACATATTGCTTGTACAACGATATGTGCATTGAAAAAAACGGTAAGGTTCGACAATATAATCACATCATGGTTTCATAGTTTTACATGAAAGCAAAGACATGTTAGTGTTAGTCTAATCACATACACAAGAAAACTACTAATACTTGACAAAATAATAGACATTTTACCACTTCTTGATAGGCAATTTATAAATGGCCTTAAAACCAGTTAGGCCTCTATATCTAGCGCACACAAATGGCTTAAAACCACATGACCGATGTAGCAGTAACCATGCCCTGACTACCTGACCATCAGTTCAATTACCAGCAGAGCAGCAACAAATGTGCCCTGTTTTTTTTTCATAGAGAGAGGATCCAGGGCCCATTAATTTCTTCATCGAACAGGAAGATATTATCAATGCGCTGGACTGTATGGCATGAAGACTGTATGGCATGAATTTTTTATAAATATATTAGCCATGTGATGGTGTCGGTGAAAAGCATTTTGTAATTGCTATTTAAATCCTGCACAGTGCTACTTAAATAAATTAGCATCACGTCTGAACCATTAGTGTAGTCTGACCTTAGAATCAACTATCCAATGATTGAACCATATCTAGCATCACAAAACAAAGAATGATGCCCTAATGACAGCATCATTGAAAAAGCCAGCATGCTTACCCTTAGAATCAACCATCCAACGACGATTGCAGAATAGTTGGATAGGAAAGGAAATTGATATCTTGTCACTTTGTCAGAACAATATAACTCCCTACCAAAGTGGGATATACAACCTGAAAAATGGTATTTTACAAAGTATAAGTGAAAGTTCAATCAACTGAAAGTCACGGGGTGATGTTAGCAGAGAAAACAAGACTAAAACCTCACTTTGAGTTTTAAAATCACTATCAGCACCAATCAATTAAGCAAAGACAACCACCTCTGAAATGCCAAAGTAACTATTCCTATGTCCTTGACACTAAATGACAAAATAACAGCCCCCTTATGCAAGGGAAAACTTCTCTTATCATTTGCATTGATTAAAAAGAAGTTGACTGCTCCTTCCATTGGAGCAGATATGGTGGATGTGAGTTCTGTCAAGACTAATACCAGACAGCATGTACCAACAGGTGTTACATGCAATAAAGGGCGTACCCAGTGCAGAGAGCTCCCGCTCTGTGCGGGGTCTAGGGAAGGGTGTTAGTGGCAAGCCTTACCCTCGCCTGTGCAATGCGAGGAGACCGCGACTCGAATCCGGGACCTTCCGGTCACAGGCGGTAAGACTCTACCGCTTGCACCAGGCCCGCCCTTCAGGTGTTACATGCAATGATCAAAATAAATATTTTTCTGATATTTTGTATATTTAAAATAAAAAAGACTATTTTTCTGCCAGTGCAAACCTGTTTGAGAGATTTTGTAGTTAACTATCTAGGCACATCATAAACAGTGTAACTATCTGTGCTCAGTGAACTGTGTTCAGTGAACACAATGCCTCAGTGATCAGTTTATCTATTTTTTTTTAGACCAAAGGCTTATAGCCCAGCTTATATTAAAAGCTTAAGGATAGTTCAATTGTTTTCTTAATTGACATCAGCTTTCATCCTGAGTATTCAATATATCTGACTTTCTGATTTCTGAGTAACTGAAAATTTAGTAAATCATCTATCCTTTGTTGTGGGAGTCAGAGAGGGAGACAATGCTAGGGAGAGCAACACACTGCTATTGAGTTGTGGGGCTTGTCTTGACTAACTATGAGGATCTGATTTTCCTCCTCACACGCAGGAGAAATATCAGTGTATCCAATTAGCCTGCCAATGCATAAAGTTTGCTTCCAGTAGGTCGATTTATGAATTTGTGATGAACGAATGGAATTTTGGTATAAGATAGATGACAAAAGCTCTCTTTTAATAGTAGGTGAACCCAAATTGCTGCACTAAAGCATTTGCATCTCCAAAGAAAAGCAAGTTGCAGATCTGAACAGGTATTCATCTTTACAAATAAAAATCATCAATGCATATACTCACACTGGCTTTGTCGCTATACCACCAGGTTAGTTAAATATAAGTAAAGCCTTCTAAAACAGGTAGTACTCCCAAAGCTTTGAAGCTAACAGAGAAAAACTTGCCCAGAAGAACAGAAATGCAAGCACTAATGTGCTGAATGACATGTCAATGCTGCCCAACGTTACAAATGCTCCAAGCAAGCCACCAGTTGCAGATAATGCAAACAATATGTAACCTATAAGTGTTTTCACTTAATCCTTGCCAATTTGTATTCAATGTTATAATTTGTTGCCACCTGAATTATGAATTCACAACTTCGAATCTGCTGTGTTTCTTTTCAATGCTCTAATTAGCTGTAAACCTAACAACACCTTGATAACTGATCTGCCGCATGAACAAGTACTGATTTTCTCTTTTTTCTGTGACGTAAGGAAATTTAAAACTTTCTACATTCTTTATCTGGGATTGTCAGCATCCCTCGACATGGGACATTTCTGCCCTGTGTTTGAAAGATCTAGACATGAAGTCTTTTGCTCACACATTTCATCAAACGCCTCAAGGGCAAACAAGAAAAAGGGAAAAGCACACTGCATCAGGAATAAATGGACCTCGACGAGCTTACCACAGGCGCCTGCGAAGCGGAGGCGGCGGAGAGGCGGGCGCCGGCGGGTCATTCCTCCTCGCGTCCACAGCGCCGGCGGGGTCAAACCGGACGGCGATGGAGCAGGCGAGGAGGAAGCGTCGCAAACAGAAGGGCGAGCAGGCGAGGAGGAGGAGAGGCGGACAACCGCGCGTCGTCGCTCCTGGCGTCCGCAGTGGCTGCGGGGCGAGACTTGAGGGCGATGGAGCGGGCGAGGGAGGCAGCGCCGGCACGTCCTCTCTCCTCGCGGCTGCGGCGAAGGGTGCGGGGCTCGCGTTTTCTTTTTGAGAGGAGGATGAGCTAGGGAGTCTTGAGATCTAGGCTTAATATAGCATAAAATAATGATTTAAACAAATAATAGGCATGATTACAAGCAATAAAAGGCTAGGAACAAGTACATATAAGATCCAAATAGCTCAAAATAAACTAGCATCAATAGACGATTATCTTTTTTGAAAAATGGTACTTGTTTCTTATTTAAATGAATTAGATATGGATTTTTTAGGAAATAACCCACTTTTTATTTATTTTAAGAAAATATAACATGACCTTTGATATCAACTATATGGCAAAACTTGTTCAGAATTTGATATTTTGGTGATTAAAAGTTCCTAGTTCTATAAGAGCTACATGGACAAACTCAAGCAATAGTTGGATACACAAAAATGATCTTCTCCTTTCTGAAATTTCAAGAAGAAACTGTTTTGGTGCACAGAAAACTTCTTTTCATAGGTCAGATCAGTTATGAATAAGTCAATATTTCTCAACCATCTAAGAAAGGCTAAATATGTATGCCTGTCTTTTTCAGAAATTTTGTTCCTGTGTTTTGCTTGGCATGCAATTATTGCACATAAGCCATACCATTCTTCAATCATACTATCTGCTACTATGCCTCTCCCGGCACCGAAAAGCCAAACGGCTCTTTATCTTCCATGCCCGTGTTCCCATATTCCGTAGTCTGGGTCCATACACCAGCGTGACACTACTGTTACGTTAGACGCTTCATGCTTGTGTGTTTTGATCCGCTTGACTGATCAATCGCTGAAAGACAACTTTTCACTCTAAATTTCAGCACACTAACCGAGTAACCTGTAAAATCTTTCAAGGAGTAAACCTATAAATTGTTGGCGACTGGCATTCTTGTTATCCCTCGATCCTAGAGGAGTGCACATCTCGCATTTCGAAAAATCAATCAATATCAAGTTTGGTTAAATATATATACAAAAAATATACTAATATTTATGACTCTAGATAAGTATCAATAAATTAATATGTAATCATAGTAAATCTATTTAGAGATACAGACGTTGATCTTATTTTGTATAGATATAGTTTAAGTTAAAAATCAATTGACTTTTCAAAAATTGAGAAGTACTCCTTTTCGGAAGGATGTATACAGTATCGATCATATCATACTAGCCGGATGCAAGAATTCCTTGTATTGGTGTATGTAGACCAGGCCTAGTGAAACTGAGATCACCTGTGGTGTGTCCACTTGAGAAGAAAACATATAATAACCACCTCTGCTCTCATAGTCTCATCTCCCCTCGGTTGGTCCACCTCCTCCTCTGGCCTCTGCGGTGCCTCCTCCCGCTCCCGAGTCCCGGCCATGTCGTCGCCGCTGGAGGATGTCACCGTGGGCATGGAGGAGGAGGAGGAGCAGCGGCCCCTGAACCGGGCCCTGCTCCACCGGAGCGCCACCAACAACACCTCCCAGGTGGCCATGGTCGGCTCCAATCCCTGCCCTATCGAGAGCCTCGACTACGAGTAAGCAAAGCAAACGCCTCTGCTCCCTCCCTCCCAGTCCCATCGATCCCTCCCTGACACTGCTCCTCCGTCCATGATCCTTCCTTCCATCCACGGCCTGGTTGTTAGTGAGGTCCTGACCCTGTTGCTGCGGTCCAACCTTGCATTGCTCGATCCACTTGGCAATACATATTTGGCACTGTAACGTAGGCTGATCTTGCTGCTGAAACTGACATGCCGATTGACCTGCGTTTCTTGCTCGAGTTGTCAGTCACTCGAACAAAACTTCATATGTTTCTATACCAGTCTGCAATATCTGTCCGATCGATGGATCCCTTGTTTGGTGTGTGACTGCTGGATTGGATGGCGTACAGGATGATAGAGAACGAGCTGTTCGACCAGAACTGGAGGACGAGGTCCAAGGGCGACCAGGTGCGGTACGTGGTGCTCAAGTGGGCCTTCTGCTTCGCCATCGGCATCCTCACCGGGATCGTCGGCTTCGTCATCAACCTCGCCGTCGAGAACGTCGCCGGCTTCAAGCACCAGGCCGTCTCCGCCCTCATGGACTCCACCAGGTGCGTCCGAGTGCTTTTTGCCCTTTCTTCCTCCTACCAAAAAGGCAAAAAGTGGATCGATTTAGAAGGCAACAAATGGTCCTTGAGTTTTTGTCTCTACTTTGTCCACGTAGGAGTATATATGCCGCCCTTTCTTTGTAGCTTTTCATCAGATCTATCCGATCATGCATATATCGCTGCTTTTAGTAATTTTCTTGTGCTGCATTGCATTTGCAATTTGCATGCACACAGCTACTGGACGGCGTTCTGGGTGTTCGCCGGCGGCAACCTGGCGCTGCTGCTGCTGGCGTCGTCCATCACGGCGTTCGTGTCGCCGGCGGCCGGCGGGTCGGGGATCCCAGAGGTCAAGGCCTACCTCAACGGCGTCGACGCGCCCAACATCTTCTCGCTGCGGACCCTCGCTGTCAAGGTGCGTCGTCGACGTGCGTGTTCCTAATTCCTATCCTATCCTGCCAGGCCTCGCCGTCGCTTTCTTGCTGCCTGCACATGGCCCCCTCGCCGCTTCCAGCTCAGCTGTGCACCTGGATTGTTCACACTAATGACTAATGTAGCAAGGACTGACACCAATTCCTCCAAGTGCATGATCCACGAGAAAGCGAGCAATCTGCCAAAAAAAAAAAAAAACAAAGAAAAGATCGATGCATTGCACGGGACAGAGTAGACTTTTCTGCGGAGAGTTTACTACAGCAGTTTTCCCCTTATCAAATCTAGCTCTGTTCGTTTGGGTTTGTTTGGCTCATAAATCATGATTGAAAGTATTATTAGCTAATTTAGTATGAGAGAAAAATATTATTCGTTGACTGAAAAAGTACTGACTTATAAGCTAAATAAGTCCAAACGAACGTGACGTTCTTACCGCAAATACTTTTTCTATGATTGTTTTGTTGTCTCGGGCGCCACCAATAATGGAGGGCTCGGCATTTTCTATTTATGTTGTCTGGATGATCACGCCAGTCATCTGGTACATGTTTGCTAAGGACGTCATAGGATTTGGACTTCATAATATAATGTATTCTCGCAAAAATATACTCATTATATATCCATAGTTTTTTTTTTCATTTTAGCAAGAGCGTGAACCATCAAGATAAAAAATCTAAACTTCCGTAGCAATCACAATACAACATTTATAGAATTTTTTGATGATTTGCAGAATAAAATTAGAGACAATTTTTGAGTTCTAACAGATCATAAACAACGGTGGACCTCAGCCTCAGGTCTCCCATATAGGATACTCAATATGACGAATACAGCAAAGTTTAGTAGTCCCAGCAGCGCAGCCAAGTTTAAATGTTGGCTGCAAACTTTGCAAGACAGTGAGATCTGACCTTGTGTTGAAAAAAAAATGTTGGATCCAGACAATGCAAGTTCAGATGTCTCTCCTGCATGCAGTACTCAAACGTGTGGCACTGTACGTATATGATGATGTGCAGGTAGTGGGGAACATCGCGGCCGTATCGTCGTCGCTGCACGTCGGCAAGGCGGGGCCGATGGTCCACACCGGCGCGTGCATCGCCGCCATCTTCGGTCAGGGAGGCTCCCGCAAGTACGGCCTCACCTGCCGCTGGCTGCGCTACTTCAAGAACGACCGCGACCGGCGCGACCTGGTGACCATCGGCGCCGGCGCGGGCGTGGCGGCGGCCTTCCGCGCGCCCGTCGGCGGCGTGCTGTTCGCGCTCGAGTCCCTCTGCTCGTGGTGGCGCAGCGCCCTCATCTGGCGCTCCTTCTTCACGACGGCCGTGGTGGCGGTGGTGCTCCGCCTCTTCATCGAGCTGTGCGGGTCCGGGCGGTGCGGCATGTTCGGCCGCGGCGGGCTCATCATGTACGACGTGAGCACCGTGTTCGACGACCTCATGACCTACCACCTCAAGGACATCCCCATCGTCATCCTCATCGGCGTCACCGGCGCCCTCCTCGGCGGACTCTACAACTTCCTCATGATGAAGGTTCTCCGAGTCTACAACGCCATCAACGAGTATGCATGCATGCAAAAGTCCTAAACATTCGACATTCGAGTCCTTTGATCCTTTGATTAATTTGTTGGTCGATCGACTTTCGATAAACTAATGTAGGGGTAATTTGATTTGCAGGAGAGGTGGAGCGCACAAGCTGCTGTTAGCGGCGACCGTCTCCATCGTGACGTCGTGCTGCGTGTTCGGCCTGCCATGGCTGGCGCCGTGCCGGCCGTGCCCCACGACGGGGCCGCTTTCGTCGCCGGACGGGACGTGCCACGCGCTGAACCGTTTCCGGCGGTTCCACTGCCCGGCGGGGAATTACAACGACCTCGCCAGCCTGTTCCTCAACATCAACGACGACGCCATCCGCAACCTCTACTCCACGGGCACCAATGACGTGTACCACCCGGCGTCCATGGTCATCTTCTTCGTGGCGTCCTACGCGCTCGGCGTGCTGAGCTACGGCGTGGTGGCGCCGTCGGGGCTTTTCGTCCCCATCATCCTCACGGGCGCCACCTACGGCCGCCTCGTCGCCATGCTGCTGGGCGGGCGGTCCGGCCTCGACCACGGCCTCGTCGCCATCCTCGGCTCCGCGTCCTTCCTCGGCGGGACGCTCCGGATGACGGTGTCAGTGTGCGTCATCATCCTGGAGCTCACCAACAACCTGCTCCTGCTCCCGCTCGTCATGCTCGTGCTGCTCATCTCCAAGACGGTCGCCGACTCCTTCAACGCCAGCATCTACGACCTCATCCTGCGCCTCAAGGGCCTGCCCCACCTCGACGGCCACGCGGAGCCGTACATGCGGCAGCTGACCGTCAGCGACGTCGTGGTCGGCCCGCTGCGGAGCTTCGGCGGCGTCGAGAAGGTCGGCAACGTCGTGCACACGCTCCGCACCACGGGGCACCACGCGTTCCCTGTCGTCGACGAGCCGCCCTTCTCGCCGGGGCCGCCGGTGCTCTACGGCCTGGTGCTGCGCGCGCACCTGCTGGTGCTGCTCAAGAAGAGGGAGTTCCTGGCGGCGCCGCAGCGGTGCCACAAGGAGTACGTGGCCGGGAGGTTCCAGGCGGAGGACTTCGACAAGCGCGGTTCCGGGAAGCAGGACACCATCGCCGACGTGGTGCTGTCGCCGGAGGAGATGGAGATGTACGTCGACCTGCACCCCTTCACCAACACGTCGCCGTACACGGTGGTCGAGACCATGTCGCTGGCCAAGGCGCTCGTGCTCTTCCGGGAGGTCGGCCTGCGCCACCTCCTCGTCGTGCCCAAGGCCTGCGACGTAAGTGCAGTTCAATTAGTACCAAGCAAGATTTCACCTCATTTTATGATATATATTATGTATGTGTCCTCCTGATGATAGACATTTTGCAGAGGTCGCCGGTGGTCGGCATCTTGACGAGGCATGACTTCATGCCGGAGCACATCCTGGGGCTGCACCCTGTGCTTCTGAAGAGCAGGTGGAAGAGGCTCCGGTGGCAGAGGGGCGCCGTCGCCAAGTACTTCCGCTCGCTCGTCGAGTGGGTCGCCAACAGCGGCTGAAGGAGATACATTGCTGGCAGGATGCTGCTGGCTTGTGCAGAGTAAAGGGGTCATTGTGTATTTGTGAAATAACAGCACCTGCTGATAGCTTCATATACACATGCAAAATATGTTCATTCAAAATTTTGTCTTCCCTTCTTCATTTATGTTTATATATATATTTTTCTTGTGTGGAAGAAGATGAGTTTGCCATATTGTTTTATGTCTTCTACATTTATTGAGTTTGATGTATAGTTTTCTTGGTGCACACTTCCAAAGAGAGGTCGAGGGTCCATTACTGAAGTAAGAATTATTTTTTTTTTCGAATTTTATAGGGCGTGGTGTTGCCCAAGCTCTGTTTACTTTTCTTTAAAAAAAAAGAATCATCAAGGAGGGCTGCCGGTTATATTGATAAAGAAGAAATCCTAGACTGGGTATTAACAGAATAATGACAATAATAGTCGTAACAATTACAAACGACTATGACAACTCTACCAACAACAACCGTGGTGACAAAAACAAACAACTAAGATAACTCTACCGACGACAACCCACTCGCAACATGAGCAAACAAACAAACCACAGCGAAGACAAACACCTAAAGAAAGGACAAAGAAACCTCTGCCACCATGCCCCTCTCTGTTTAGCTTATAATGTGTATTTTCATAACTTTTTTACCTTAATACAAAGAAGCAAGCGCAGATCTCCTATGTTTTTAAGAAAAAAAATTACAGGTCAGTTTCAGGATTAGTAGAATGGCCTAGCAGAGATGCTCTGTCACCAGGAGATCAAGATCGAAAAATATAATTATCCTTTCCTTTGTGGAGGCTTTGCTGAAGAGTTTTGTTCTCACCACCCGCCACCCCTAGTGGTTGGTGCTCAGTGGGCAGGGTGGCTTAGGTTGCTGGTATAGAGCAATGACGGACCTAAACATGGCAGCAGCTGAGGTCGAGCACGGGGGCTGGTTTGGCGTGGGCGAGGAAACGATGAAAAATACTATCTTTATTTTGAATTATAAGTCATTGTGTATTTGTGGAATAACAACACCTGATGATAGCTTCATATACACATGCATATATGTTCATTCAAAATTTTGTCTTCGCTTTTTCATTTTATGTTTATATTTTTCTTCAGCGAAAGAAGAAGAGTTCACCATATTTGTTTTATGTGTTATATATTTGTTGAGTTTGATGTATAGTTTTTTTGGTGCACATTTCCATAGAGAGATCGAGGGGCATTACAATTCTTCAAATTCAAATGCTGTATTTGCAATTAATCGTTAAAAGATATTATTTTAAAAAAAATCCCTAGTCAATGCGGTGCAAAGCAGTGTTGCTGTGAAAATTTGATTCACACGACACCACGATAACTATCGTTCTTTCGTAACGACGAGCGACTAGTTTTCAGAAACAAACTAGCAAAGGGGTTCCTCGCTTTCGTGGAGGAGAGCCGACTGTTTTTCAGCGTAAAATGGCAAAGGTTACCAACCCCTAATGGAGATTAGGGTTCGGTATGCACTACTGTCCTAAGATAGAAGAAAACATAATATTATATTGGAAAAATAATAGATTAATAATGTTGGTTGGTTAGAGGATAACAATTGACCATATACCCGAGTATTTATACATGGGTATGCGTAGGTCTTTGGCAAACAGAGAGAATTCTTTTACGCACAAATTGAATATAATATCTTTCTAATTCCTAATTAGTTTGGCCACACGTCCACACCTACACCTATTATTAAGTCCAGCACCACTATGAGCCTGATTGGTTGGGTGTCTAAACCCCAACCAGGCTTCAGCAAGCCAATTTTCTAGCTGTTTGGTTGCCCATAAACAGCTCGAAGTCAGGTCAACTAAGCCACTTTGGAGCCCTTAGTCCCAGAAAAATGACGCCTCGTTTAGTTGCCCGGAATCGGCAGTGGCAAAATCACTGGAGCGCACTGTAGTATTTCGTTTGTATTTGGTAATAATTGTCCAATCGTTGACTAATTAGGCTCAAAACGTTCGTCTCGTAGAGTACAACTAAACTGTGCAATTAATTTTTGATTTCGTCAACATTTAGTACTTCATGCATGTACACAAGTTTAATGTGACGGAAATCTTCTTTTTGCATAGTGCGAAAGTTTGGATTTTGGGCACCTAAACACCCACTGAGACGATGATCCGTTTTTTCCTGGCAGGCCCTGGCCAGCCATCGATGGATTCGCATCACCACCCGCTACTCCCGTTCTCTTCCGCACCGCACCGCCGCACCTCCCGCAGCCGGTCGTCGTCGTCTTCCTTGTGGAGCACCGCTCCGCAGCGCGCACTACCCTGTCCCAGATATGGGCGGATGCAGCCGGTGGCGGAAGATGGTAACCGGCCCCGGCGTCAACAGCTGCATCTCCTCCGCCCGCGCAGCATGGTCACAGGCCCCGGCGTCCGCGCCCAAGCCCGATCCCGAGCGTCCCTGGCGTCCGCGCGACTGCGGCTCCTTCCAGATCTCCGGCGGCCACTTTCGACCGAGCCCGAGCTCCCCAGCGTCCGCGCCCAAACCTGAGGCCGAGCGTCCCCGGCGTCCGCGCTCAACTGCGGCTCCCCGGCGTCCGCGCTCAACCGCGCCGAAGCCTGAGGCAGCGCTGACCGGCTCTTGGTGGAGAGCGAGGTCCTCGGCAGAGAGATCAACGCGGCGCTGGAGCTGGTGCTGTCGCCTCGGCCGCTCAGCGCGTTCGCGGTGTCGCAGGTGCGCTGCTGCTGCTGCTGCTGTCGCTGCTGTTGCCGAGGAGGCGCGCGGCTGCTGCTGCTGCTACCCGTCTTGATGCAGGCGCGGCTGCTGCTGCTGTCGCCGAGGAGGCGCGCGGCGCGTGCTTCCTTGTCTGGCAGACCCGGAATGTCAGTCTCTTCTTGGCAATAGATCGTCAAACGGCCACTGCTAAGGGCACCTCCAGCGTCGTGGTCGAACCAACGTCTGACTCAAGCGAACAAAAAATTGAGTTCGGTTGCTCCAGTGTGAGTACCGATTTGTGAGATCCATGTACAATTAAAAACTGGTTTTTGCATGTCCTTCTTTATTGCCGTGGCAACATAGGAAGGCAAATCCATGGGCCAGCTAGCGTCTGCAACAGCCGATTTTAGCAGCTCTGACAAGTAAAGTTCGATGGCTGCAGTGTCTACGGTTCGGTTCCAGCTGCCCATGGTTCGATTTACTGACCACACTGGAGCTGCTCTAACTATTGAACCTTGCCATGCGTTGTGTGTGACTGTGTGCCCTTCTCCATCATTCATGGGCTTCGATCTCTTGCCATTGTTGAAGGAAGCGCCAGACTGTGCAGACTGCAGAGGCGGGGTTATCTTGTCGTTGCTGCCGTGTTCCTCTTGTACTTCTCGAGCAAGCGATGATTTTGTGACAAGGATGAATTGGTAGCCGCCATGAGCTTAAGCTGACATCCTGAAACTGCTAAGGCCTGCCTTGTTAAACCTTTTGCGGCATTCTTCCTTCTGACCTTGCAAAGTTAGAATGAACAAGTATGTCTCTTGTAAGTTTTTGTCAGTCGCTGCAAGTAATGAACATCTGAAGCTGTAGCTTCAAGATTGATCAGTGCTGAATTCGTCTACTTTGATGCCAGGGGACTGATCAATGATGGATTGGTGTTCATCCATGGATCCAGAGTCTAGAGAGGTCTGAGAATGTTGGCATTCTTTTGTCTGGTGACCAATGACTATGACTCTATGAGCACGCCAGCACGGCATCACTGCCCTACTATCTGGGAAATAGTCTTGACACAGAGGAAAATTGCTTTATGCAAATTGCAAATGCAAATTGCAAAAGCTGCAGAAAGCCAAACCAGCAAGGGAGCCCAAACTCGCGGTGAACCCAGCCATCATGCAACGAACTCGCGGTGAACTCGTTTGGCAGTGTACGCACGACGCCGGCGGCGAGGTTGTCCTGCTGCTCTCGTGCTCTCCGAGGATGCCCACTAGAAGAAGGGGGTAAACTTACAAGTCTAAGAAGAGGTGACTCTATGCAAAACAAGCCAGACAACCAAACTTCATTTACTAGTCAGGCTTAGATAACATAGACAATCAAACAACTAAAGGTTAACATGGTGGGAGCAGGCTAAGGCTATCCAGGCTAGGATTCTAGCCAGGCTAGAATTGACTAAGAAACCAAACACACCCTACGTCTCCTATTCTTGCTTGTCCTGAGCCAAACCATTTACTGATCTGCAAATATCTTCTCCTTCGACTCGGCAATGGTCCAAACAGATTAATCATGTGCCTCGGAACCAGCTAATATCTCCGTTTGCGCATGCTTGATACTGGACTCCTCAATAATCACTAGTGGAGCCTCCATCCATGAAATTATCTATTGAAGATCTTCTCCACACTATGTAAAAATGTCACATATCCACCACGCCATCTACATATGCCAGGACAAACACACGTCTGTAATATGAGTTTACATATGCGCGTTCCCAAACGTGTCTACAAAGTCACTGACGGGTCGTTCGTTCAACACGTGTCTGTAGTTGCAGTTACTACAGACGCGTCTTAAAACGCGTCTGTATAACGCGTCTATAACTCTCGCTTAACTCCAGACGCGGCCAGCCAATGCGCGTCACAGGTGCAAACCCACGGACCCGAAAATTTTATTCATTTCAGCAGAGCAGCCGTCCGCCCCAAGCCCGCGAGACCCCCGAGCCCTCTCCTCTTTCCCATCCGCTCCCGACTCCTATATCCTCCCGTCTCCTCTCCCTTCCCCTCCGCAACTCCTCCCCTCGGAAGACGGCGGCGCCTCCCTCCTCCAGACTAGCCGGCGGCGCCTCCCTCCTCAACTCCTCTCCCTTCCCCTCCGCAGCTCCTCCCCTGGAAGACGGCGCCGGCTCCCCGTGCACGACTGGATGGCGCCGCCTCCCTCCTCCAGATCCGGCCAGCGCCGCCTCCCTCCTCCAGCCGGCGTCGCCTCCCTCCACCCAGATCCAGCCGGCGCGCCTCCCTCCTCAGATCTGCCACAACCAACGTGTCCTCTCCGCTACCCCTCCCCGACCAGATCGCGACGAGACGCCGCGCTATCCGACCCAGGCCGACGCCGACGACCCCTCTCGCCGCCGCCGGCCATGGAGGGCTACGGGGTGCGGTCCTCCTCCCGGCGGCCATGGAGGGCTATAGCGACAATGGGACACCGGCGCGTCCCTGGTGCCCCGTGCTTGCTCATGGGTAACCCTAGCCCCTTCGCTCCTCAAACCCATCGCTCCCGCAGTGCTGCTTCCTGACGAGATCCATGTGAATCCCCTCTTTCCCTTCCTCGTGCTATCTCTCTGTGTTGAGATTTGAGACCTTGGATTCCATTTTGTTTCGAGCTGATGGCACCTAGGATGAGGTTGTGGTAACCTGTACTAGTACGGGTACAGGCACAAGACGTCTGAGGCTATACTAATTCCTAGAGTCGTTGTATTAGTTAATTATGCACACTAGTCTATCTTATCAGATTGCTCAATTCCTTTATAGTTTCAGTTATTTTCATTGGTCTATCATTGTTGAGATTCATTGGTATATCATTGTTGAGTTTCAGTTCCATTGTTAATTTCCCTGTTACTAAGTTACATTGTCAGTTTTGGCTTAATTTTATTGTTAATTTCCCTTGTTACTTATTCTTTTATCAAAAACTACTGTTGTGCTGCTATTGGTTAGTGCTCTAGTTAATTGGTCACTGCATATGTTCAGTTTGCTCATCTCTGCTGAAGTAGTGTTCATCTCTGCAATATTTTTCAGGGAGCAAGAATATGTTCTGCTTGGGACCATGAGATGCTAGAGCATGTCATGTCATGTGGTCAGGTACATGTTAGATTGTTTTATATATAGAATGCCATCAGTCCATGTTAGATGTGATTATCATCTGCTGAAGTAGTGTTCTAGAAGCCACTTGGTTAGGAATATGAATATGATTGCAGGGCTCCATTTTACTGTGTATGATTGCAGGGCTCTATTTTGCTGTGTATGATTGCAGGGCTCTATTTTGCTGTTACACCCTTTCTCAATTTATCATGCAAGTTCAGTTCTTTCCTCATGAATTTATAACTGGTAAATGGGTCAAGCACATGTATGCTTTTCTGATGGATTTCATTCTGTTCTCATCAAGACATTTCTTATTTCAGTTTCTACTTTGATATGCTAGTAACTAAACAAGTGATAAGGTTCTGTTGATTAGTTCTGAAACTAGCTACCACTTGTGAGAACTTTTGATTGGTTGCCAATTTGCACTTGTCTGTTTGGTGCCAGTCTTCTACAGAGAATTTTTTTTTTAATTAGTCATTATTTTTTCCCAGAATGAGTGGTCAATCCGGATGCTTTTTTTATGTTGGCTTTACTGTACACATAAATATTTATATTTCTGAGCTGAAGAAGTGTAGGATTTCTTCTGAAGCTCGTGACTTATCTGAAGCTCCAAAGTTGGTGACTTGGAATTTCTTGTGAGTTCTCAGATCTCTGATAGCAGCTCTTGATGCATGTGAGCAGCTCTTGATGCATATGTGTGCGATTCCATAGCAGCTCTGGATGCACGTGCCAGCTTATAGTTAACTAGTTTGGAGCTCTTCTTACTGTATAATTAGAACCAAGCAACGTGCTTCTATCTTGTAGTATGAATAAACACTTGTGCAATTATTTGTTCTTAAATGGGGTTGTAGCATGCTGGAAATTGGATACCTACCAACAAACTGAGAGGATGCTGACTACTAAATTCTTTTGTGTAAAGCCAATGATAATAATATCTCTGCGGCTGTGCCTTCAAAAATGGCAATAATATCTGGCAGATGTAAATTGCTGACTGTATACTCCTTAGAGAAAGACAGTATGCACAATTTAGCTTAAGTTGGATATTTCCTTATAGCTTTCATGCACTGTTCTCTTGTGTGCATCTTATTAATTTGGCAGCAGATTATTTTTACATTTTACCTGTTACTCTTCTGGTACTATCATGACTGCTATCAAGTGTCTTATCAACCACATGCTTCTACTGATGATGAAAAGTCATTTGATGTGTTGGATGTGGAAACTTATCTGTTGAATGTATCTTATTGTAGATTGATATCAGATCTTGTAGCTGTTATTGTCTCTGCTACATGTGGTGGAATCGCCTTTGCTTGCCTTGGGCAACCGGTGAGTACCTGTACCTTTATTTCCTCTAATTTCTGTATCATACTATGTGCTTCAGTGGTACTAATTACACTCTGTGCTTCTCTGTCTACTCTGTTGCCTTATTTGTTGTTCAATCATACTACTGCTTAATTTTGAGAATAAGAGCTAGATCATTCAGTACTTATTTCCACTTAAATGTGAATGAAAACCTGTAGAACATGCTAACCTACATTCAGTACTTTGGTGGCAGGACTTTAGAAATGTCATATATGGGTTTATTTCCAGTTGCATTGCAGGTCAGTGCTTTCCCATTTTCCCTTTATGTTGGTTTCACACACTTCCAAATTAACGCATGAGAGGTTGTTACCAGGGTATTGATATCAAGGAAATGATAGTTGGTACAGATGCATACCGAACTTCACCGTGTGATTACATGCCTCATCTGCTCTTCACTTTACTCATGTAGAATCCAGTGACTTCAATATTAGTTACATGCCTGCAGCTTATCTTCTTAGTTCAAGTAGCAAGTAGGTTTACTTAGTATGTTGGAGGGACTTGAATATTAGTTACATACCTTCAGCTTTTGATATTACTTCATGTATATGAAATTGCTAATTAGCAATTGGCTACTATATATAATTTGATGTGTCATGTATGATGTATGTAAGACCGTGGCACCTGGGGATTTTTTTTTTTGTTTTTGTAAATCGTTATCACAGACGCTTGTTGGCTAAGCTTATGGCAGACGTGTTGGCTAAGCTTATGGCAGATTTTGTTTTTGTTTTTGGTACAGATGCGTTATGGCAGACGTGCGTCTGTAATGTGTCCAAAGGCGCGTCTGTAATGTCCTTATTTTTACATAGTGCCACAAGAGGCTGTTACATATATGAATATCTGCTGTGCTGCATAACGATCTTCAATCCTGACCCTGTTGCAGCATCATCGGCCAAGCTTGCTTCTGGCCCCGTAAATTTCAGTTGATTCTTCCATTCAAATATGTTACAATTCATCAAAAGAATTCGACTAATAAACATAAGTACTAGCAACTAAACTAATTTGGCCAACTAGAAATCAAAGAGACAAATTATGATATTAATAACAAGTAGCAGCTGGGCCCACTAGCGGCGACTCGGTACATCCAAGCGAGCGCTCACCTGCGTCAGCCGGCAGGCAGTGGCCACCGAGCGCACACCTGCGTCACCATCGTCACACACACAACCTGCGTCGACACACGCAACGGCGACTTGGATCGAACGGACACATTAATTAGCCTTTTCCGTCAATGTTTATCTTTCACCGGCCTTATCAGACTCAGCATACTAGATACATCATTTATCATGACATCAGTGACAAAGGTATGTCACCAGTACTTCCTACTCCGTATAATACTAAAGATCCGTTTGGATTTCAGTGGTGTAATAAATTTTAGTTGATTAAAGTTAAGACTAAACTTACAATAAAACTTTAGGATCATACTAAAGTTTAAATCTAATTTCATAAGGGCCTGTTCGGTTCCTGGGGTTCCGAGGCCTAGAACGGTTCTAGCCAGGAACACTTATCTAATTTATATATATAGACAACTCTCAACCAGAAATTATTCCTAGCCGGAACAACCATAAACGAAGGAGCCCTAAAAGAAATTTTATAGCCATGGTTTCTCTTTAGCACTCGTATTCCGTGGCCACTGAGTCCGAGTACCCAAACCTATGGCCTTTGCCGTCGAGCTTGTGTGCGTCGACACCATCGAGAGCCTCTCGCCACCGCAGCCATTGAGCTCAAGCTGTCAAGCGTCTTTGCCACCGAGTCCGATTAACTAAGGCCCTGTTTGGTTGAGCTGTGTGTGGCGTCGAGAAAGCACCATCGAACCTCTTGCCACCGCAAGTATAAAATATACCATCTTTATCTCTCAAACAACGTCAAGAGCTTTTTATTCCACCAATTTGCCAAACCAAATTTTCAAAAATGAACTACTTAGTCCGATTAACTAAGCCTATCACTTTGGTTGGGCTTTTGTTTTGGCCAAAAAAAGCCAAAGCCAAAAGCCATAAGCCTATCACTGTCTTGTGTGCGTCGCCATCGCCATAGCCGCCTTAGTTGATTTAGTGCTGCCCTGCTAGCGAAGTGACTTCTTCAACTTAATTTGGTCCGAGTATACTTCCCCTGAAAAAACTCTCCAGATCTTATACTAAACCAAATAACTGTAGAAGTCAGTTGACCAAGACCGTATACAGACCATATAGCAGTCTGCACCGCTACAGCTGATTCAGTGGGTGGGTGCGAAAGCACAGTACTTCTTCTTGATGAAGAACTTTGTTTGTCCTTACTTGGACTAGTGAAGCCCTGAAGTGCGTATCAGAACTTAGAATTAGAGGTACCCACAGTCGCTGAAATGACAATGGGCATCATGGTGGAAAACCATTGTATTGTCTATAAAGAAGGTAAGCCAAATCCCCTCAAAAAGAAAGAAAGAAAGAAAGAAAGCCAAATGATATGGGTTCACCCACAAATTCAAGTGAAAGTGACAACTATGTGACATGACTACTCTATGCGACAATATATCGGCTAGTAGCCCTGTATATGTCACATCCCACCTGCTTTGAGATCTACCTGCCAACTACCAGAAGATGGAAAGCAGATAAAAAAAGTATGAATCCCACGTCACAATATAGCTAGAAGCTAATTTGGTATTAATCAATTATCGGTCATAATAGTTATCCTCTGCTCTGAAAGGCCACATGGATCTTGATGACAACAAATATTTCTGAGATGTATCTTTTACCAAAGAAATTTGCGCTATTATTTGTAACACCCTCGGTGTTACGTCCTAAACAAATTATCAAACCATGTCATGGGCATCATGTTTATGTGATAATGTATGTGATTGAATGTATAGATAACATTTTTGTAACTTCAGATGATCAATAAAAATGTTAAATGATAAGCTATTCCATAACTCATATGTATTAAGTAGGGTTTAAAACTAATTTTTATTGAACAAAAATGCTATAGAACATATATGT